CTTTCTTTATTAGCCATATCATGGACTTAGATAATTCCGTGGCCATATGTATGTGAAAAATACAACAATGCATGTATTTTGTGAGTATACAATTAATAAAAAATATTCTGATTAATTTTCTAACGATGCTGTGCTTGCTGAGAAGCGGATGGTTTCCTCTGACCTACTTACTGTAGTGTTCCTACCTAACTACAGTACACAATTCCCGTCACAATGTTTGGGTCACTAACGTTTTGCTTTATATCACAAATATCACCACTGCAAATAAGCCTGAAATTATACCACTGACCTCTTGAACATGACTATTCTTACCGGCAGAATTAAGAAACTCTCTCCAACGTGTTCTGTCCATTTCAGTTTAGTCACAGAATAAATCGACAGGACAAATACATTAACACAAAAGAACTTTCGTTGAAAATAATATTTGATTATCGTTAAAAAAAGAAGAAATATTTTGTGTTTTTAGTTGTTATTGTTTCAATGCAATTTGATTTAACCGCACAACTTGCGAGGCACGTGATTGTCACGTGATCGTAATTTACATAGCGCGGCAAAATATTGTGACGCTTATGGGCCAAAATGTAAAGCAACTTCTTGGTGCAAATTAGGTAAATCATGACTATTTATATCACTTCTTTCATCTTATTGACTGTTACATTACGACATCGTTAGCTAGGATGAAGTATAACGATACATGTAGTTCTTATAGTTCTTGCTTGAAGTTATTTGAAAGTGAAAGGAGAATTTACATACTGATCATTACGACGACAAAATGAAATCTCGATTTTTTTTCAACTGTATGATATTAAAGACAATTAACAAATGATTTCAATTCTTACTTCATCAATTTGTATTAATATCTTATCAGGTTTCCATATTAATCTATGTCTGATGATAATAGGGCATCTCACTTCCGGTTCAGACAACCTAAAAAAGATCGAAAACAGCTTAGTATTATTATTGCAACATATCGTTTATTACATTTTTTTCTCTCTGGCAAATAAAATATCATAATAAGCGGGTTCCGCCGTGCTGTTATTATTTATTTCTGACGGAATTTCGGACTCCTGTGGAGCAATGCAGAACATTGCACTTGCCAAATACATTTCAAATGTTGCAAGTGGTCAGGTAATAATATGTTTTTAACAGAGGAAATATTTTGGGCAAAATTTTATTGAATTGTCGGGGGCTTGAAATCCCTGAGCACTCATCCCTTCGATGGTCGATTGGCACTCATATTACAGTACTATGCTGACTGAATCATCGAGTATCTTGACGTGTGAACTGAATGCTTTTGTAAAGATTGCGTGGCAAGGTACGTACTCTGAATCGGTGAATAATGTTAATTTCTGACGACATAGACAGTGTGCAATATAAATGAAACTCCAGAATGATACTAGTACCACCCCAAAGCTTGTATAAAGCCAATTTATAGTCCACGTCTCTGACGCACTGTCACCTTATTGTTGAAGTCAATATATTATGTTTTGGGTTCATTGCGTGCGTAGCAAGCTTATCAGATTTTAATGTGTACTGATTCTGTAACTGTTTGTGTATTACACTGCCCGCGCAATATCTGTCCCCTCTCCTCTAACATTTTTATAAACTCGATGTTGAACTGTTGACACTTCCCCAGCATTAATTAAATTGATCAGCGAACCATGATAGAGACGTTTGTACCTGTAATGTCAGTGGTCCGTAGTAGTAACAGGGTACAAGTGTTAAATTTCGAGTTTTTAATCCGAGAATCTTTTTCTTGCATGATGGATAAACAGGTGTTTTTTCTGGTTAAAATTGAAATACATGTAAATAAATTAAAAAAATTAGTAATATATTCATGATTCATTCCACTCTGGCATTTTACTTTAAAAAATGCAAGTTGGGAAAGTACAAGGTGGCTAACCAAGGCAGGTATCTAACTTAATTTTGTGCAACACTATATGGTTCAGATTACATGTGTAGCAAAATAAACTGGAATGGTAACACCTGTCCGAAAATATCTGGATCCGCCCCTGGCCAGTTCTAAATAAAATGAAATAAAACCGTTGAACATGGAAAAAGCATGACTAATAAAAATGACTGTTGAATATTGGATCAAATGCTATACTTTGTAACAATAAAAACAACCAAAACATTAAATGATGTATTCTTTCTTGTATTTCAGGCAGCACAGGAAGATTTGGAAGATGTGAATGAATCGAAAGACTTTTAGAGGCTGCAATTATCAAAAACAACTGGATTGGAACTAAAGATATTATTATCAGCAATAAAGATTTAACACGTGATCATTAAATGGACTGCATTATCACATATATATATATTTTAGATACACTGGGAATACATGATATCTCATCAAAAACTCAAAATTTTCCTTGGTGGAGAACTCCCCTCTAGTTGAGGCCAAAGCTCCCTCACATATCCTCCCCACCTAGTCACTTTCTTAATCGGTTGGTGCATTTTGCAATAGTTAATAGGGCCCATTTTATGGTTATCGAACCCTGTATTGGTATGTCCTGGAATCAGAACGTTACCATTATTTTAATCATACGAAGAGGTGTATGATCTATGGCAAAATCCTAGCTGACCTAAAGACATTTGTGACACACGTGCACTGCTGATGGTCTGTAGGAAATATATGTTTCACCCTCTACCAATAGGCACTACGGAGATATTGCAACAGTCATATAATTATTCATTCCAAAGTCAACTCTTTATTTATGGCAGAAGCAAAGCCCAAAGCTTCTTGAAGCAGTACTTGTTGTTGTTCCTCGGAGGGAAAATACATTTCAGACTATTGTCAACACAGACATTAGATAAGCGTAAGTATTCGTTAACATTATTTTAGGAAATTTAAATGGAGTTTATCCTGCATCTCAACTGACTGTTTTGTGTTGGTTTTTCCTAAAATATTATATATTGCAACATCAAGAAAGCATGTGTCTGGAGTACTTTCAGTACTTTGATTCACTTGGACGTTTATTCAAGCTCGACCTCTGGAACTGCATCGGGATATCGGACGATGTTGAAACTGGTGATGAAGGTGAAACATGTTGTGCATATACATGTTCTTTTTCACTTCGATTGGTTACTCAAAATCACATATTTTGGTCGTCCGAAATCAGTAATTATATTAACTTTTAACAGTGATTAATTGTTCATTATGCAGTTTGTTTTGACTTTGTTTGAGGGCACTTTATGATCATGTAACAATACTAAGAGGTGGAAACTAAGACAACACTACAGCACCATATATAGTGCATCAACAGAAGGCGTCTCCGTGACTTCAGCTGCTGTGATCTACTCGTAGTGAAGCAGACCTAAAACCTATCAATCAATCAATCTCTGTTGCTTTGTTTGTTGATCTTGACTAACCTTACATGGAGCCTGTACCTGTACGGGTATTTGCCACAGGAATGTAGATAAAATAAAGAAGTTTTAAGATATCACTTGAATAGTTTTATCTGTGTCTTAATATTTTTTCTGTTAAATTACATTGCATAGATAACCTTAATTCCAGTGTCAGAACCATCAACTGAACATCTGTTTAAGTTACTTATTACATGTAGCCTGCTAGAATGAAATAAACCTTTAACTTGTTTTGTGCACTATAATCTGTAAAATTAGCCTACGCTATGCAGGTTGACCTGTAGCAAGTTAAAGTTAAAACCTTGATTCAACAATAGATTTATTACCTGTAGCCAATTAAAGTTGAAACTTTGAATAAACAATAGATTAGCCTATAGCCAGTTAAAGTTGGAACCTTGATTCAACAATAGATTACCCTGTAGCTAATTGAAGTTTAAACTTTGATTCAACAATAGTTGAGCCTATAGTCAATTAAATTTGTAACCTTGATTCAACAATAGATTACCCTGTAGCTAATTGAAGTTTGAACTTTGATTCAACAATAGTTGAGCCTATAGTCAATTAAATTTGTAACCTTGATTCAACAATAGATTACCCTGTATCTAGTTAAATTTGAAACATTGATTCAACAATAGATTAGCCTAAAGCCAGTTAAAGTTTAAACCTTGATTCATTAATAGATTAAGAAGTTGCCAATTAAAGTTGAAACTTTGATTCAAATAGATTACCCTGTAGTCAATTAAAGTTGAAGCTTTGATTCAACAATAGATTAGCCAATAGCCAGTTTAATTTGAAATTTGATTTACCAATTGACAAATACCCTGTAGCCAATTAAATTTGAAACCTTGATTCAACAATAGATTACCCTGTATCCAGTTAAAATTGAAACATTGATTCAACAATAGATTAGCCTATAGCCAGTTAAAGTTTAAACCTTGATTCATTAATAGATTAAGAAGTTGCCAATTAAAGTTGAAACTTTGATTCAAATAGATTACCCTGTAGTCAATTAAAGTTGAAGCTTTGATTCACCAATAGATTAGCCTATAGCCAGTTAAATTTGAAATTTGATTTACCAATTGATAAATACCCTGTAGCCAATTAAATTTGAAACCTTGATTTAACAACAAATTAGCCTGTTGCCAATTAAGTTGGATCCTTTAATTATTCAACAATAGATTACCTTGTTTGATTCAATAATGCAATTTTATTGTCGCTCTGTGGAATCTTTTTATTCCTACCGACTTCAATCTCCAAGTTTTGATCGCTTATTTGAAATTAAGTTATTAGCCTCCTTAGTCAATATACAGAGACGTATAGGCCTATTATTCATTTCCATGTTGCAGTACATGTGTATTGGCAGACTTGTCACTCACTTTAAAATTGTCAAAATATAGACTAAAATTTATTATGTTGGTGTTTCGTCGCTCATAACGTGTGATCGAATTTATTTCCTTTGAAACTAAAACGTTCCTGGTACGGGAAAATTACTTTTCAAATGGTAAGCGGTCGACCTCTTTTCTGGTTATGACACATATGGTTGTCGCCCTTTGGTTAGATTCTTCCCAGGTGGCGCTTATATCCAGGCCGTGACGAACACCGTCGACACAGGTGAGTGATACAGGTAAGTGTTATTATCTGTAACCAGGATAACGCTACCCAACGATCGTTAGTTGCTGTCGGATATATTCAAGATATTTGAAAATTTAAAAAGGGTCGTAAGAAAAGCATAGTGATATATAACTGTATCTACAAGACGATCAGAAGTTGATGCGATATTGGAATCGGAATGGCTCGAAACTTGCAAGTGTAAACAAAGTATTTCCAGTAGTCTACAGGTACCTAATTACTGTTTGTTGATCATCAGTGTAGTTTTGTCTATCAGTTACTAAATTGGGCGTTCTCTGGTGGCATACTATATCATAGATGACGATATACGTACCTAAGTTTGTGAAGCCCTGTACAGGTAGTCATGTCCAATTCCAATTACGCGTTCGATGCTAATTATAGATGTAAGTCATATATAGAGAATTTGATTCGTTTTAGCAGATAATGTATAATGAAGTGGTTTTTTTAACATTCGCATTTATTGTATAGTAATTATACAATATGTTACAGTGAAGCTAATATATATCGTGTGTATATTTTCATCTTATTAACATATATTCATTACAATATAATGTACGTGTATATATAATTAATTAACGGTAAATCTCATACCTGGGACACTTGTGTGTACTTAGTCAGTGTCAGCTGGGGTTCATTGTCAGACACAAGCCTACAAGCGGAAATGTATAACACCATTTATGTCTCTGGCATACAAGTGTAGCATAACTGGACTGGTACGATCACAAGCAACTGACAACAAGGTACATTTAATTTGTAGATCACTTTGAATTTGTTAGAGAGTCTTGTTGAGAGGAAAGAAGAAGGACAAGATAACCTGGTAAAGATTCCAAAGGTGAACACCTCCACATATGGTAAGAGATCTTTCTGATTTGCTGCTTCCCAGGTGTGGAACAGCCTACCAAATGCACTTTGATTAGCTGAAAACTATAAGTCGGTTCGTGGGCTGCTCCGCACCTGGAACAAAAATGTCTGCTCATGTACTATCTGCACACACCATATAGTGTGAGTTGTCCCCCTTTGGAATTTACCTACATGTTTTATGCTACAACTATTTAATTTCACTGCTGCTTGTGTTATTTAATTTAATATACTTCAGTAATATACTTATTATATAATTGATATTTACTTTAGATTTGAGCTCCATTATTTAAAAGATCATTGCTTTTTTACAATATCATAATTATAGCTCTGTTTCTATTTATGGCTTCATTGTCTCTTTTTAATACACACTATATAAGTGTATATCCTGTAAATTTTTACACTTTGCTACATTAGCATATATGTACATTACACTAATATAGTGTCTCAACTTGTCTTTTGTAACACTTGTGTGACATTCAAGTGTGATATCATAATTTGCTCTACTGTATAATTTTAGCATATCTAATTTGAATTGTTGTCCTGTTTTTATATTTATTCATAAGTACTGTGATCCTTGTTAAATTTTATATATGTTTTGTCACAAGAATAGCACTACAGTGCTAATGTTATTATGTTACATGTATATGCGACGTTAAATAAAGCTTCTTGACTCTAGAGGTTCTATATCTAGAGTTTGGCGGTCCCAGGTTCAGTTCCCAGTCTAGCTTTGCATTTTCCCCTTCATTGTTACACAGGTATGCATATAACACTGTAAGATATCTTGTATATGGTTTAGCCTAAAACCTAGATTTTTTTTAAAAGTTTGAAGTAACTGAAGTTCTGAACTTCTGTCCCTTACTATATTACATACTGTATGTAGTTTCGTTGTCTAGTTTACAAATGTAGACAACCATATTATAGTGACTTAATCATGATCAGGAAACTCCTCAAATTTTGTATCTACCTCATATGTATGTAGTGGAACTGCATTAGGTGGATTAATATTGTGGGCAACTTAAGGTACATAACGTATGTAGCTCAATTGGTAGAGCGTCTGTCGGAAGGTGCCAGGTTCTGATCGCAGTCTGACCGTGCATTCTCTCTCTCTCTCTCTTGTTACAATGTGTAATAAACTGAAATATTTCCTTTCACGCTCCTGTTTCAGTCCAGTTTATTTGAGATCAACCTTACAGTTGGGATGGAAAGGCCTGTGAAGTTGTGAAATACTTGCAAAATTCCAGACAGTTTCCCGGAGGATTCTGACACAGTTGTTAGTGTGTGATATAAAGTGTCGGTTATATAATAAAACATCATCATGGGTAAAAACATGTTAAATATCACCCGATCCAAGCCAAAGTATGATGACGAGGTGAAGATAGAAAGCATCCACTTTGAGGACAAGTCGTCCAAACCAATCAAAATGGTCCGCCTCGTTCTGATCCTGCTCCTCGTCATAGTGCTGGTGAGTGTGCCGTCTAATAGAACTGTACAATACACATAGGTACCGTTATTGTATGGAACTTTGGTCTGACATACAGTCCTAGACATGTTATCATAACTCATACATAGGTATACGTTATTGTATGGAACTTTGGTCTGACATACAGTCATAGACATGTTATCATAACTCATACATAGGTATACGTTATTGTATGGAACTTTAGTCCGACATACAGTCCTAGACATGTTATCATAACTCATACATAGGTATACGTTATTGTATGGAACTTTAGTCCCACATACAGTCCTAGACATGTTATCATAACTCATACATAGGTATACGTTATTGTATGGAACTTTAGTCTGACATACAGTCCTAGACATGTTATCATAACTCATACATAGGTATACGTTATTGTATGGAACTTTGGTCTGACATACAGTCATAGACATGTTATCATAACTCATACATAGGTATACGTTATTGTATGGAACTTTAGTCAGACATACAGTCCTAGACATGTTATCATAACTTATACATAGGTATACGTTATTGTATGGAACGTTAGTCTGACATACAGTCATAGACATGTTATCATAACTTATACATAGGTATACGTTATTGTATGGAACTTTAGTCCCACATACAGTCATAGACATGTTATCTTACTTCGTTGACCTCTCATCTCTGTCACCAAACATACAATATACATATGTAACAATGTGTATAAACCTCTGACTTTTGACATTCACTCAAGGGGGCATCTCATGATCACCTGGCATACATTCAGAGAAGAGAGTGACCTTTGACCTGACATCTTTCAGATGTGTCAGTGACCTTTTGTCACCAAATATACATGGATGCACGTCCTTAAATGACCTTAAGTGTTAATAGAACTTTAAACAAAATAAAACTAAACCAAATATACATACACATGTTACCATGGGTGTTGACCTCTGACTTTTGATGCACATTCAGACACATACATTATCTTTGTTCTGGGTGACCTGCCAAAATATATCCTTAGACATGTGGAGTACACCTCACCTGACATACAGACATGAAATGACACATATCATAAATTCGGACAATAGAGTGACCTTTGACCTGACATACTTTCAGGTGTGTCAGTGACCTCTGACCTGACATACATTCAAATGTGTTTTGTGACCTCTGACCTGGCATGCATTTAAATGTGACAGTGACCTCTGACCTGACATACATTTATCATATATAGCATTTGATATAGGCCCTATCTAGCTAACGTAAGCCTCTTTAAAGCGCTTTACAGTACATATAGATATACAATTAATACAACTAGCATATACATTAATCAATACAATTTTGTGACCTCTGACCTGACATACATTCAGATATGTCAGCGACCTCTGACCTGACATACATTTTGATGTGTTTTGTGACCTCTGACCTGGCATATTTTGAGACAAGACAACAATTTCTGACTTGACAAGGATAACATACATTTAAACAAAACAGTGACATTCACATTTTTCAGTGACTCCTGACTAACTGACATATTTAAGTAAGGTACCTGACCTGACAGTGATCCTTGATCTTGCATATATAAGGCAATAACCTCTGACCTGACTTACTTTCAGACAAGACAATAACATTTGCCTTGACCTACTTGTATAATTCAAACTGATCATCACTCAGACTTTGCATACAGTTATACCAACAATCAGGTAAGCTTGTTCGTGTTTTGTTTCGCAAATTATCCGAATTGATGTGCATGTTTGTTGAGTTATATGTACTTTGACTAAATGGTTGCATCAGAACTGTCTGAAATTCCAATTAAAGATTTTCTTTTCTGTCTGAGTTATTTTGAAATAAAAGATAATATTTTGATAAATATTAGTGTTTGCTTCCAGGGAGATCATACATGGTCATAGGCCGTATTGCAGAAACATAGGAATTTACGAACCTAAAGAAGCGCTTTTTGAAATTAATAATTTATTCAACTTTCGACAGATTGGCAGTCTGGCAGTATTTTCAGTTGGAGTACTGACCCATGAGGTGGAGTATGGCAGTAAACAGATTTCTGACCTCATTGGAGTGGCTATGTACCAGGTGGATTCCATCATGATGATTGGTGTTGGCATGGCAGCATTCCTCATCACCATCCTTGGCCTGATCGCTATCCTGAAAAATCAAAGATGTCTTCTGGGATTGGTATGTTTTGGTACCGTAAAACTTTTAAATAGCACTCCTTATTAGTTCCCCACTGGTACTGGGGGGGNTCCGGGACATATCTTCCATGCTATTTCACCAGAAGTAGAGTGCAAGAATTAGGTCACTGTACCTATGCCTTGAACTTAACGTTTGAAAAAGGTTTGTCCGTTGCATATCTCCTGTACTTTTTTCACCTGGAGTTACAATATTTGGTGTACAAGGACATCTTGGGATGATGGAGTACACAATGCAAGAATTAGGTCACTGTAACTTGACCGTTGACCCCCACTTTTGAAAATGTTTGTCTGGGGCATATCTTCTATACTATTTCACCTGGAGTAACCAGATTTGGTGTACAAGGACATCTTGGGATGACAGAGTACACAATGCAAGAATTAGGTCACTGTGATCTCACTGTGACCTATGCTTTGACCTTTGACCTAAACGTTTGAAAAAGTTTGTTCGAGGATACTTTCCTAACAGTATGTACATCCTGGCATAAGTGTACGGTTTGTTAAATATAGAAATCATTACCAATGGAGGACTATGGATTGCCTTGCAATACTTTGCCTTGTTATATTTGTCACCTCAAGGTTTGTTACCGACAAGTTGTTGGACTGACAACATATTTCAAAATCTTCCCTTTTCTTTATATTTTTTTCTGATGTATTGCAGCACCAGATTGGTGTTCAAGGACATCTTGGGATGACAGAGTACACAATGCAAGAATTAGGTCACTGTGATCTTAAGTGCTAAAATGATCCTGTAAAAAAATATATTTGTTATTGTATTAGTAATTACAGTATAAGACTTGTGTGAATCATATCTCTTTCACAAGAGAGAGTTGTTGGAAAAGATTGTTAGATTCTTAGTCAAGACAATCTGTACCTAAGACATCACAAATACAGAGAAACTATCAGCAGTGTAAAATGGAGCCCTGTCAATTAACGTTTTTGTCGTTTGCTAATCCTGTTTACATTTACTAGAGTTAGGTATTGCTTGTAAAATTTACGATTGGTCATCACTACCTAGTTCTCAAATGATGGATGATCATGATCAATCACTAATCGATCATTAAATCAAACAGAAATAAATTGAGAAGCATTCACGCAAATGGGTAACATGTGGTTGCTACTTGTTAAAGACCTAGCTTTAACAGCAGAAATGTTGATTCAGTGGAGTTTACCGTAAAATTCACGAGTAAAAGTGTTTGTTTAATCAGTTTCAAGGTCTGCACCAACAAGTCTGTAACTCTTCAAAGTTTTCATGTGATCGTCAAACCATAATAGAAATTGTTGTTATAAAAATAACGATTCTATAATAGGACATTCTTGTTTTTATGGATTAACATAAAATACCCAAAGATTAACTGGTGCACCCTGTTGGATACTGATAGAGTCATCCTATGGTGATGTCCTATATGTGACATGTGTGTGGCACCCTGTTGGATACTGATAGAGTTATCCTATGGTGATGCCCTATATGTGTGTGGCACCCGTGTTGGATACTGATAGAGTCATCCTATGGTGATGTCCTATCTGTGACATGTGTGTGGCACCCTGTTGGATACTGATAGAGTCATCCTATGGGGATGTCCTATATGTGACATGTGTGTGGCACCCGTGTTGGATACTTATAGAGTCATCCTATGGTGATGTCCTATATGTGAGGTGTGTGGCACCCTGTTGGATACTGATAGAGTCATCCTATGGGGATGTCCTATATGTGACATGTGTGTGGCACCCGTGTTGGATACTGATAGAGTCATCCTATGGTGATGCCCTATATGTAACATGTGTGTGGCACCCTGTTGGATACTGATAGAGTTATCCTATGGTGATGCCCTTTATGTGTGTGGCACCCGTGTTGGATACTGATAGAGTCATCCTATGGTGATGCCCTATATGCGACATGTGTGTGGCACCCTGTTGGATACTGATAGAGTTATCCTATTGTGATGCCCTATATGTGTGTGGCACCCGTGTTGGATACTGATAGAGTCATCCTATGGTGATGTCCTACATGTGACATGTGTGTGGCACCCTGTTGGATACTGATGGAGTCATCCCATGGTGATGTCCTATATGTGACATGTGTGTGGCATCCTGTTGGATACTGATAGAGTCATCCTATGGTGATGCCCTATATGTAACATGTGTGTGGCACCCTGTTGGATACTGATAGAGTTATCCTATGGTGACGCCCTATATGTGTGTGGCACCCGTGTTGGATACTGATAGAGTCATCCTATGGTGATGTCCTATCTGTGACATGTGTGTGGCACCCTGTTGGATACTGATAGAGTCATCCTATGGTGATGTCCTATACGCGACATGTGTGTTGCACCCTGTTGTATTATGTGTACCGGTATATGTGTTATATATAAACCACAAGAAACAACAGATTGATTGTGGAGTAATTTTAGCGAGAACCCCGATTCCACATGTGTGTCCACCATCATATAGAGGTGGTATTTCTGTTGTATCTTTTATGATGAAACTGACTTTTTTGTCCCTTAGCATTTAGTTATCCTGGCATTCCTGTCAATCATGTTGTTTGTTGGAGGTGTCCTGGGATACATCTTCATCGCTGAGGTAATCATTTACATCATCTCATTTAATAGATCAAAAAGTTACTTTGAAATCAATTCTGATGAACTAGTCCAATGTTACGTTAAATTGTTATTAATATGATGGATGATGGTTGTTTTGGGCATTGATGTTGTGAATTTTATCTTTTTATGTAATATTGATTGAGAATATTGAGCTACAGATTTTTAAATTCCAAATTGAAAAAAGCATTAAAAAACAAATCTAAAGAATCAATTTTACATTTAAATATAATTTTTGGAAAGAGAAAAACTTTTTTTTTTAAATACCAGTAAGCAGTAAACATTATTGACCATATTTAAACTTTCTTTTCATAGCTGGAGGACACAGTAGAACGGAATTTTGAAAATAGTATCAAGAAGTACTACGGTGTGAATCTTAATGTGGGAAAGAACAGGGATATCACATCGGCCTGGGACAATGTACAGAGTACCGTAAGTCGTACACTGAGTTATGTAGGAAATACCTTACACATTAGCTGTATAAACGTCCTACTTGGTTTTAACAACTCACTAAAACATGTCAAACTATGATAAATGTAGAATTGTGGCCACCTTGGCTTTCTATTTACTATCAAACATTAGGGCACAGGCTTGGTTAGAATGTTATATTTATTATCAAACATTAGGGCACAGGCTTGGGTAGAATGTTATATTCACTATCAAACATTAGGACACAGGCTTGGTTAGAATGTTGTATTTACTATCAAACATTAGGGCACAGGCTTGGTTAGAATGTTATATTTACTATCAAACATTAGGGCACATGCTTGGTTAGAATGTTATATTCACTATCATACATTAGGGCACAGGTTTGGTTAGAATGTTATATTTACTATCATACATTAGGGCACAGGCTTGGTTAGAATGTTGTATTTACTATCAAACATTAGGGCACAGGCTTGGTTAGAATGTTATATTCACTATCAAACATTAGGACACAGGCTTGGTTAGAATGTTGTATTTACTATCAAACATTATGGCACAGGCTTGGTTAGAATGTCAAGCTAGATGAAACCTTCAAGGTTAAAATGTTTTGAAAATTAAGCATACCGTAAAAACCCATGTAATTTGCGCGCCTGTGTAATTTGCGCAGGTACTTTTTGAGGCTGAAAATAGGGAAAAAAGGTTCTACTCGAATATTTTGCGCACCCAAAAAATCTGGAAAAATGAATTCTTTTCTATGATTTTTTTTTCATTGATGTAAAATGATATTTAAAACCAAGAAGAAACTACGTAAAATGTGTATTTTGTTGCTTGTTTTCTTTGAATTATCTGATCACACACGTGTGCGCATATCGGCATACATCAATTCATTTTAGCAATATTTTACATAAAACATTTACTTGCTTACAAAAACATATCAATTAATAAGTAATCCGATGTTTAGTAACCGCTGGTGCATATCTCCTGGTGAAAGACATAATTAGATACCTTTTATTGATCATAATTACGATCAGTGAGAAGGGCTCATCATGGCGGCTTGGGTTACGTCACTTCAAACCAGGTCATGTCACAGTTCAGTTTGACCACGGAATTAGATTATCTAAGTCCGTGGTTTGGCGATATTTTTTTTACAAATTACAATGCAGTAATGAGCTAACACTATCTCTGTGATTACCCGTTAACAATAGCTCTACTAATTGAAATGATTTGCAGTCGCGATCGACGGACCGTGTTGTTGTTTTTTTCACTCGCCAACACGTGGCGTGAATTACGAAGCCCTACTGCATTGTCATAACTACAGACTGATTTGACTGATAAGGGATTATAAAAAATATGTTTATACTAGAAGCGTGGACAATCAATACATCCTCTTCAAATCTACTCCAAGGAAAAAAATAGTTAACGCAGACTATTTTTACGATGCTTCATTTAATAAATATTGAAATAATTCACGAGGTTATTATCAATCACGTGTTTACGTAATGTTAGACGCGAGATCAACATGAAAGTGAGCCGGAAAAAAACCATGCTATACGTATACGCATAGGCGATTTGAAAAAACTTACAGAACTTACATAGAACGGAGCTTAAATTGAACAACTACATTTTCGTAATAGTATGGGGAAACGCACCGAGATGTCGAAACGTAATGTCGTAAGTTGATCGGCGATTCTCTGGCATAGGAATTTGGCTAAACTTTTTTTGTTAACGGTTACCTATTTATTAATACTTTTCACATAAACTCACATAACAACACATTATGTATCTTTTATTAATGTTTGACATAAATAAATTTGTTGATCGTCATGATCATTTGTCTTGTAGAGTTCCGTGTACCAAGGGACATAATCCAAGATGGCGATCTCTCAGAATCGTCGATCTTTTCCTAAAAAAAACTTGAATTTTTCTATACCTGTGTATTTTACGCACCACCCACTTTGGGTATTAAATTTCTGAAAAAAAATGCGCAAATTACTTGGGTTTTTACGGTAATATACATTGAAAAATACCTACATGGGACCTCTTGTCTGCTCTCAACATGAAATTTAAATTGACAGAGAGACAGAGAAAGGATGAATGAAATAACTCTTGGTGTTCCCTTTAAAATGTACAATATGCTGTATCCTGTTTTCATCCCCTTATTTACCTTCATGCCGTGCATCACATTTTAGTCTGTAGGATTGTGATTGGATAGCATAATCAGTGCTATATGACACAGTATCTTCCTTACCCTAAATATGCCATTGACTCTGAGATATTATACTTGACTCCAGGATTCTATACTAGACTCCAGGATACTATACTTAATACTGGAATACTATGCTTGACTTCTGGATACCATCATCCTCAACAATTCAGGGTTTTGCTCACTTTCACTCTCTGCACCGCTGAAACATGTCATAGCAGAATTGAAGGCACATGGCTAGCTATTTTATTTGTATCAGGTAAGGAAACCTGACCAATCGCTAAGGCGATATATGTTCTTTGAAGATTACAGAGGAGCCAAACCTGACTTCAAAGCCAGTCAATTTTATCGTTATGCAGGGACATATAAAGCCATACGTAGTATATATGTCTCTACATTATGTGGCCTCGAGATTCTTTACATCAAATGATCAGACTAGTCTTCTTGTCTCATCCACAAGGTGGTTCACACTGAGCCTTCGATTTTGCTATGACATATTCCAGGGATGCAGAAAGCCAAATTGAGCATATATAGCCCCTGGAGTATTGAGGATGGGATACCAGACCTGAGTCTGGGATACCTTACTTAAGGCACCGTTACACATGCGACTATACCATGCACATTTTCTACTATGTTATACCTTGTGTGACGTTAAAACTAACATGTAATTTACTAATTCTATGCCTATATCTATGATGGCCCCTACCCTGAGCCACAGTTGGTTTGAATATCACCTGAGTCAGACAACACTGTAAGAGAACGACTCCCCCATTATACAATATCAGACAATGTATACTGAGGTTCAGTTATAACTTAAGCTTGTTTCATTACAGTTTGGCTGCTGTGGTGCCTACGGTAATATCAACAGCACCACTTCCTGGGCTATCTACAAGAAGCATTCCTTCTGGTACCTAGATGGAATCGCCAGTAAGTAGCAACTGCTTTCCACCCAATAACTACACTTTCTTAATGTTCAGGGGGTGGAGGGTGACAACTTTCCATCTCAATATCATACATTTTCTTATCCTATTTATATAAATATATAGACTACTAAAATGTTGGAACAGAAAATGTTTTGAAATTATGTGTCTGTTGGGCATGCTGATGGAAAACAATTAGTTGTTTACATGGAGGACTTTATATACAAATATACGAGTGCTGATCCATTATGAATTAAATGTGCTCTCATGGAAGATTAGAACTTAGATATCTGGGTTTTTCCATAAGTACTCTATACTCTGTTGTCAAACACATGCTTTAACATCTCCAATGGGGAAAGGATTGTCTGTAAGACCTGACATCACAAAGTAATAACATCTCCAATGAGGAAAGGATTGTCTGTAAGACATGACATCACAAAGTAATAACATCTCCAATGGGGAAAGGGGGATTGTCTGTAAGACCTGACATCACAAAGTAATAACATCTCCAATGGGGAAAGGATTGTCTGTAAGACCTGACATCACAAAGTAATAACATCTCCAATGGGGAAAGGATTGTCTGTAAGACCTGACATCACAAAGTAATAACATCTCCAATGGGGAAAGGATTGTCTGTAAGACCTGACATCACAAAGTAATAACATCTCCAATGGGGAAAGGATTGTCTGTAAGACCTGACATCACAAAGTAATAACATCTCCAATGGGGAAAGGATTGTCTGTAAGACCTGACATCACAAAGTAATAACATCTCCAATGGGGAAAGGATTGTCTGTAAGACCTGACATCACAAAGTAATAACATCTCCAATGGGGAAAGGATTGTCTGTAAGACCTGACATCACAAAGTAATAACATCTCCAATGGGGAAAGGATTGTCTGTAAGACCTGACATCACAAAGTAATAACATCTCCAATGGGGAAAGGATTGTCTGTAAGACCTGACATCACAAAGTAATAACATCTCCAATGCGGAAAGGATTGTCTGAAAGACCTGACATCACAAAGTAATAACATCACCAATGGGGAAAGGATTGTCTGTAAGACCTGACATGACAAAGTGATAACATCTCCAATGGGGAAAGGATTGTCTGTAGGACCTGACATCACAAAGTAATAACATCTCCAATAGGGAAAGGATTGTCTGTAAGACCTGACATCACAAAGAAATAACATCTCCAATGGGGAAAGGATTGTCTGTAAGATCTGACATCACAAAGTAATAACATCTCCAATGGGCAAAGGATTGTCGGTAAGACCTGACATCACAAAGTAATAACATCTCCACTGGGGAAAGGATTGTCTGTAAGACCTGACATCACCAAGTAATTACATCTCCAATGAGGAAAGGATTGTCTGTAAGACCTGACATCACAAATTAATAACATCTCCAATGGGGAAAGGAAGATTGTTTGTAAGACCTGACATCACAAAGTAATAACATCTTCAATGGGGAAAGGATTGTCTGTAAGACCTGACATCACCAAGTAATAACATCTCCAATGGGGAAAGGAGGATTGTCTGTTAGACCTGACATCACAAAGTAATAACATCTCCAACGGGGAAAGGATTGTCTGTAAGACCTGACATCACCAAGTAATTACATCTCCAATGAGGAAAGGATTGTCTGTAAGACCTGACATCACAAAGTAGTAACATCTCCAATGGGTAAAAGGATTGTCTGTAAGACCTGATATCACAAAGTAATAACATCTCCAATGGGGAAAGGACTGTCTGTAAGACCTGACATCACAAAGTAATAACACCTCCAATGGGGAAAGGAATGTCTGTAAGACCTGACATCACAAAGTAATAACATCGCCAATGGGGAAAGGATTGTCTGTAAGACCTGACATGACAAAGTGATAACATCTCCAATGGGGAAAGGATTGTCTGTAAGATCTGACATCACAAAGTAATAACATCTCCAATGGGTAAAAGGATTGCCTGTAAGACCTGACATCACAAAGTAATAACATCACCAATGGGGAAAGGATTGTCTGTAAGACCTGACGTCACAAAGTAATAACATCTCCAATGGGGAAAGGACTGTCTGTAAGACCTGACATCACAAAGTAATAACATCACCAATGGGGAAAGGATTGTCTGTAAGACCTGACGTCACAAAGTAATAACATCTCCAATGGGGAAAGGAAGATTGTTTGTAAGACCTGACATCACAAAGTAATAACATCTTCAATGGGGAAAGGATTGTCTGTAAGACCTGACATGACAAAGTGATAACATCTCCAATGGGGAAAGGATTGTCTGTAGGACCTGACATCACAAAGTAATAACATCTCCAATAGGGAAAGGATTGTCTGTAAGACCTGACATCACAAAGTAATAACATCTCCAATGGGGAAAGGAGGATTGTCTGTAAGACCTCACATCACAAAGTAATGCGTGATGATGAATTCTGTTGTGATGGTTGATTTTGTAAACTCCAGAACCTCATTGGCAATAATTAAAATATTGATTTTCCAAATTGAAAATGATTCTAATAGCTACGTGTTGATTTTAAGCCATTAATACCCAGCAATGAAAAAAATTACATCATGACAATAATTGTTCAAATCACTCATCACAACAAATCACTTATTTCAAGACAAATCTAGATCTAACATCATTAGATGAATGGCTTATACACATGTATAGCTATTTAAAACAAAACATGAAGACTACAATTCGCTAGCCCTTTCGCCCATCTTGGGGCTCTTTAGGCGTTTTGAATTTAGTTGTGACGTCATAAATCGAGTACACATATTTCAGAAGTGAAAAATAATGACGTCATCAACAAAGTTCACATAATGAGGACGTCTAGAAATTGCGACACGTATATATTTATATAATTATCACATGACGGTTTGATTGACCAGATGGTAGTATGGTGCCTGCGAGTTGCTGTGGAGAAGGGGACCTTTTTAAGTGTATGGGGAGAGCCAATGCTACAGCTAGTCCTGATGCCCCACCTTACGTTGGTCCTCCATCCCCGAATGTCGGCTCCGTAGGGTACTCGCTGTACACAGAGGTAAGTACTAACAGGTCTAGTCCTGATGCTCCACCTTACGTTGGTCCTCCACCCTCGAATGTGGGCTCCTTAGGGTACTCGCTGTACACGGAGGTAAGTACTAACAAGTCTAGTCCTGATGCTCCACCTTACGTTGGTCCTCCATCCCCGAATATGGGCTCCGTAGGGTACTCGCTGTACACGGAGGTAAGTACTAACAGGTCTAGTCCTGATGCTCCACCTTACGTTGGTCCTCCATCCCCGAAAGTCAGCTCTGTTTCAACATGACTATAGCTTTGATTAATCATTTCATAGTGGGACTTTCATAAAAAAAAATCATAACGATGTAATAAATAAAATCAACAATAGTGTTCTTAGTGTAAAAAATCATTGTGCCGAGACCGGGATTAAAGTTTCCATTCGTCAGCTCTAACTTACTGAGTTAACTTAGTGTAAAAAATCATTGTGCCGAGACCGGGATTAAAGTTTCCATTCGTCAGCTCTAACTTACTGAGCTAACTTAGTGTAAACAATCATTGTACCGAGACTGGGATTAAAGTTTCCATTCGTCAGCTCTAACTTACTGAGCTAACTTTTGGTCAATGGAAGTGTAATGGCCCAATTGTGTTACAGTTATATATAAAATTAAGGGGAGGCTACTGTATATATGAAAAGACTGAGTGTGATGGATAGATATAGGGACCCTTATAAACTCACCAAATACTCACTTACATGGAAAAATCTTCAAATCTCATAAGAAATGGAAGCTTTACAAGATTTACATGTGTTTAGAAGTGGGACACAGTTTGTACACAGAATGTTTTGATTGGTTAATATTAATATTGTTGTTTTATCTGTGTGTCATCGCTCTGTTGTACAGGGTTGTTATGACAAACTACACTCGTACCTGGTACAGAACGGTATCCTCATCGGCACAGTGGCCATAGTGGTGGCGGTCTTCATGGTATGTATATTACATATATAGATACATTTTATTCCTACAGTTACATTTTTGTATTTGCTTTATTTCTGTGGAGATATGTAAGAATAATTTGTACAGTAAAACTGATAATGCATTGAAAAGGTCTGAAATTAAGTAACTTTTTGTATCACTTGGTTAAAACAGACACGTAAACAGTTTAAGTATGATAGATTCCTTGGGCCTTTTACCACAATGTTTTTGGTACTGTCCCGTTTTTTGTATAGTGACGTTTATATTTTTACTAAGTAAACAAAGTTACTGGAATAGGTGGGAACTATCTAAGGAGCCTTTTAGTAAAATGTTTCTTTTATTCTTTGACAGTTCATACAGATGTCGCTGAGTATCTTCCTGCACAGAAAAATGAAGTACATGCACTAATAAGATACTTCCCAAGAACAAGTTCTAGCTATCTGTGATCTGTGTTATTGACTCACCTAGCCCCTGGGCTGGAGTGAGCTAGTGTTATTGATTCACCTAGCCCCTGGGCTGGAGTGAGCTAGTGTTGTTGACTCACCTAGACCCTGAGCTGGAGTGAGCTAGTGTTATTGACTCACCTAGACCCTGGGCTGGAACAAGCTAGTGTTATTGACTCACCTAGACCCTGAGCTGGAGTGAGCTAGTGTTATTGACTCACCTAGAACCTGGGCTGGAGTAAGTAAGTGTACCCTGGCACAATGTCTGTTGTCCATTATTGTGTCAGTAATTTAGCACACCCAAACTCACACTATAGAGTATATGTATTGTATTTAGATAATCTGAAACTCTCCTTAGCTTTAAAGAAAGAAGATATCTATGTAGCCAGCTATAATATACTGACGTTGTTAGAAGGTTTAGAGTTTCTATAATACAAAACTGACCTTGTGTTTTACCAGGTGAGCTATTCAGGCCTTTAAGGCCATCTTTCGTTGGTGTTACTTTTTCTGTTTGCATTGACAATTTGGCACCAGTATCATAATCTGTATGTATTAAATATCAAATAAGGAAAACAAATACTCAGACCATGGAAATAATGTCTGTTTTGATATAAGACCATGGAAATAATGTCTGTTTTGATATTTTGACAGGGACAGTGTTTTGTAATTATAACGAACATTTGTAACTGGTATGAAAGATATCATAATATTTTTAATTAAGACAGTATTATTTTTCATTTGTAAAGTGAAGATTTACCGATATGTCTATAGAAAATATTTCATATATGCAACACTATATATATTGAAATCAATGAGGCAAAAAATATTGATGTTAAAGATATATGCTACCTTTTATGATGCATCCTCTTTGCTAAGGTGTTTACTGAGAAGATACAATTAACAGAATTTAGTATTGATTAATTGTGAGCATTGGTGATATTATTTTCTTAATTTTCATCTGAGCATGCAAAAAATATTTTGTAAATTGTAAGAATCTGTGCTTTGCAGGTGCAAATAATTCTTTCCCTATTACTTTAAAGAGGAATTTGTTAAAAAAATGATCTACTAATTATGCTATTTATTTAACCCTTGATTCTTTAATTTATGAATTCAATTGAATATTTTTATAGTCAGTTTCATTTTAAAGTCCAGTTCATATATACCAGAATACATGTATTTTATCTTTGTTGAAATGATCTTGTAATTTATTTTGTATCGTAGATCAACTGCTTATGACCTAGTCTAGGAGTTGTACTTGCAATATTATGGTCACCATAACTGGAAAATGATTGATTGATACATGTTGGGGTTACGTCTTTCAAGCTTCATTAGGACAGCGACACTTAAAACAAAGAGTTTATGCGACCTCATTGTGACATGTACCCTCTTTACACAGAGTTTATGCGACCTCATTGTGACATGTACCGTCTATACAAAGAGTTCCTTGCTGAAGAAAGCCTTTAGACATCTTTGATGGAACCTAAATACTTCAATACTTGACTCATTTGATATTTTTTTTACAATTTTGTTGACTTATTGGAAAGAAAGGATTGAGGAAGGATTGAGACACATTTCAAAGGTATACAAAATATATGGTTTCGCTCAGACAAGACCTAATATTCTAATAGATGTTAACTCCGACACCACAAATGTACAGGTAACAAACCTCTACGTATAGAGCCATTCTTAATTTTACATTGGAATCATTGATGCTTTTTGAATTATTAGGAGAAACATGTATATATGAAGTACATAGATTCTGATGCTCCGAAATATTCTTATTGGATTAAAAGCTTCAAATAATAAGAAACTGAAAGAATGATTAATTTTAAGTTTGACCTACACATATGAAGCTTATTAGAATTGACTCCATTTGATGTTGTTTGTGGTCATTCACAATTTGATTCACGCTTTTTTGAACTTGGTTCTTGTGTTTATTTTTAGCAATATTGAAATTGTTTTTCGAAATTTCTAAAACAGACTTTAGATTAGATTTCGGAACTATGATTAAGATCTAAATTGTTGTTGATATTAATTGAACATTTTAAACAAAAAAGTTGAATGTTTATATTTAAATATTTCTATTTAATGTAAAGAGCATTCCCAAATTAACATTGACTTGACATACAAAGAAGATTCTTTAAAAGATCTCTATATATATATAGCGATAAATAGTTTTAAATGTCCATGTGAAGGTAAAAATATAAATAAAACAAAACACGAAGACTAGTATAATCGGCTAGCACTTTCGCCCATCTTGGGGCTCTTAATTGTATCTGTCTCAAATCACCTGAAGAGCCCGAAGATGGGCGAAAGCGCTAGCCGATTATACTAATCTCCTTGTTTTGTTTTATTTATATATATATAAACCTTGTAAAAAGAATATGTATTGATGTTATTGAAATATTTACAATAGATTCATGAAAAATAGAGTTTATTTTTAACAGAACATATTTATTCTAAAAGAAAGTATTAGATGATTTTTTAAAAATTATTTAAATGTACATCCTGAGTATTTTCATCCCATAATTTTCAGTTTTTCTTTTCCAGAATAGGCATCACTAGTGAAAATTGATCTTCATAATCGGTGCATAATAATGTTGATTTTATATTTACCTGTATTTCAACTTTGTTAAATTTATTTAATAACTTTTATTCCAAGAACAAAAAATATTGTTTCTCCTTAAAATAACTGAAATAGTTAAAAGCTTCCACTACTGGGTAATGTTATAAAGATTCAATAACTGTATAAAACGGCCTAACAGGCCTTGTTAGCGAGTTGTTATATAGAATCAATAGTCAGTTCACAAGTCACCACCTCCGTCCATAAACCATGGTTTTTAGCATCAGCTATCAGCAATAAACAGAGACATCCAGGGAAATGAACAAATACATTCAGAGAAACTGCTTTTTAAAGATTTGACTTTCTTGCATTAATCGTTGAAGTGGATGTTTCCTCGTCCCAAACAATTCGATCAAGCTTTAATAAAAAAAAACAACACTCAATTTCACCTTTATTTTCATCAAGATTTAAACCTTTTACCAGCTAGTGATACAAAATTGTTAAGAGATTTATTTTTTCCCTACATATTTTAGTAAAAAAATAATTTTGTTTGCATTCAAACTGTGTGATGTGCTGTTTCTCACCTCGCAATTGTTAAATCAGCATTGTTTGTTTTTTTATGTTATCTGTCTCTCATCATTTATAAAATATATATGGAATGTTACATGGAAAATTTGAAATTTTCTTACTTTTCTATGAAAAAATATACATGTTTGTACAAAGACCCTTAAAACATATTATTTTTAGATACATCTTATACAACCCTCCCCTCCTTGCCTGTATATCTGGTAAGTAAGACACCAGATCAGATAGTGCACATCCTAATGTTTTATAGAAGTTTTGACAACCAAAAAACATCACCCCTCGGGTTGGAGATTACGTTATGGAAACAATAAGATATATATGACGTCACTACTAGCTCTCGACAGCAGATGTCATGTGCGAAACAGGATGTAAATAGATTTCAGATGCTGAAAACTATTGTTTTCAACATAATATTGAAAAGTTGGAGAAAAATAACCTTAGTGACCTTGAGGTTGTAACAGAGAAATCTCTGGGTGATCATTTTGTTGTCCAACCCTCGACAGGGCCGCAAGCTAGACAACCAAAAGATCACCCCGAGGGTTTGGGATTTCTCTGTCACGCCCTCGATGTAGGAGATTTTGTTTTTGTTTTTTTGTTGAAATATTGTCTTTCATTGTAGTAACATGTTTTGTTTTGTCTGTAGTTTTTTAGCCTTGTCAATGGCTCTGTTGTAGCATTTGTCTTATTCACATGTAAAACATAAGGTTTTCTCAATGTATAATGATTGGGGGCCATTGTAGCTCCACCTAACTCATTCCAGTGCATAATATAGATGGTAACAATTAAGTGTTATCGTAGGAAACGACTTGTACATTTTAGCTTTGTTATACCGTGCATTTTAACATTGTTCGTCACCCCATGTAGTCGACTTTTGATGTACGTTTTTAAGCCATCAGGGTATTTTGTCTAAGATTACCTTTCACTTCATTGTATCTGCCTCAATTAATACGTAGAACATGCTGTGTTATTTACATGCCGACATCTTTTCTAAAGAAATATTAAGTTTTCCGATCAATTTCAGGTTTTTCACCACCGAGTACACATGTAGTTCAGAAAATGTTAAGATGTCCACCTTTCTCTTGATTCAGATGGTTTATACACACACACTCTCATTAGTATGATATATCAGAACGTTGGAGAGTTCCGGTTGTTCCACATAAACGAACAGGCCCCACGCTAAAGTAAACTTAAAGGGAAGTAACTCTTTAGTTAAAAAAGCAGCATTGTTTTAAAATACCCACATAAGCATTTCAGAAAACCATATAGGCATTACAACTTGAAATAGACATATCATGAATTTTTACAATCTATTTTGAGATCATGATCATGTGTGATGCTTTTGTGTGGTGTGTTTAACTTGTATTTGACATAACAATTAATACTAGTGAAAAGTGTGTACGAGTAGGTCTTTGTCTCAAGGCATTGTAAGAGATCATTTAAAAACCAAAAGAGCTTACTGTGATTAATGTCTTAATAAAAGTATACGCCTGGCAATGAAATGTAAAATTCAATTCAAAATTTTATTTTTTTTAGATCAAAGACGACCAGGTACTCCAACACATAAGTTGTAAGCTGATAATTTTTTTTTTAGAAATGAATAAATCTTATAGCATTATGACAGTCCTTAAATAAATATTTGTTATGTCAAGTACAGAATTTATAGATTGAAGTGATGCTTTGACTTTTCTTTTATGGTTGTCATTGAAAAAGATTTCAGATAATTTCTGGTTTGTTATGTAAACTTCAGAGTTTCTGTCAATAAATCACCCGTCAGTTTGAAACCTACTTCTTCAAAACCACAAATAGTTAATAAATGTAATTAGTGATAGTGTAGCGGTATATCAATATGAACAATTTCAAACAAAATTGCATGAAATCTGGATTTATTCTTTGTTATGTGTAAACATGGGTCGGATGACTGTCATTGACTTTATCTGTCAATAAAAAATTCCCCATTAACAGTACCGGAAAACAAAACTTGTATGTACTGTAATAATATGGTGATTGTATTGTTTGTAATTGTTACTTTGCAAACAAAGTGAAGTCTTGACAGGATTTTTCAGCAATTATATCACAATTTTAACATGGCTAAAATCTGTAACTTTGAACAGATAATATAACAATTACATGTAGTTTGTTTACAGTATATGTAAATGTCTAGTATAGTTATTCTCAATTTCTGGTCAAATTTCCTTTGTCTGTGATGACTATTACATTAAATGTTTTGCAGATATATCGGTCTTCTTGTCTTTCTTGTGGCGGAACTGTACCCAGTAATGTCTGATCGGACAGATATTTGAGGAAAAAATATTTTCCTTTGTTCACAAATATAAATGTTTGTACTTTTACATCAGCTGGACTAACATTCATGCTAATAAAGGTGTTTGACCCAACCCCTCCCTTTAAACACATAGTCACTGGGTCCTAACAAGTTCCTGGTTGACAATATCTTAGTTGAATTGGTGACAAGATTTTCCAGCAGACTAGGCATTATTCATAGGAACAAACTGCCCCTCTTCTGGCCATTTATGTATGAAGCGGAATTCATTGATGATCTTATCAGGACTGGAATCCAGAAACCTAGCCTAGTCCTTCAATTTCGTATTCATATATATCAATTATGTGCTGTCTTTGAATAACGAGGAATTCATTGACCACATTGATCGTATATACCCTCAAGAGCTTGAAGTCGAGGTTACTACAAACTCGTGTACTTAAGCCGCTTTTCTCGATCTTTGCTTACAAATATAACAACCAGGAACCTTATACTTCTAAGCTGAACAATGAGCGGGACAATTTTGACTTTCCAATCATGAACTTCCCTTTTTGATAGCAACATAACTGCTCCCCAATTTTTGGCATTAACATGTTGCAGTTGATTCGGTTCTCAAGAGCTTGCTCTGAATAACACAACTTCCGTGATAGATGTGGACTGCTGACAGACAACTTCATACCAAAGGGTTTTACAAAGATGTAGGCTGATGAAGCGTACAGTAAGGACAAGGTTTATGGTCGCCATCAGGATCTAGCAGAGAAATATACTTGTTGTTTGATATGAAGGTCGATATATTTGATTATGCTCACTAGAGTACCTTGTGGTATTGTTGTCACTACCCGAGTTCTCTATGCGAGGATGTGAAATGACTTGTGATTCAACTTAAGATTACATGGCGGGTGTCATTTGACGAAGCAGAAGACTCTTACCCTTCCAGACACCTGGTCTTATCTTGTACTTTTTCAAGGGTCTCCATAGAAATCTTTCCTTTCTCCATATTTTGCCCTAATTTTAACAATTTTTAGTTTGATTTATAGTTTTGTTGGGGCTACAGTATTCTTTTGTTGTTTTTTATGCAAACATTTGAGCCCCATAACCTATATGAAAAAAATTGTTAGGCATGAAAAAAATATTCACTTGTACTAATGTACCAGGATTTGGCCAAAGTCCCTCCAGCACCTGGGTGCTTATTGCTTTAGTAATATCATGTAAATGGCAGAGAGATCCCCAGTCAAACCAAATAACTGCTTGGTGGGCTACTCCAACAGTGTTAGAAGTTTACACGGCGAGATACTTTTGACAGGTACAGTGTAGCGAGGATGCAGTCGACAAAATCATACCCGATAGAAGAAAAAGGCTGACCAGCTGCCTCTTTTGTTAAGGAGTACTTGGTGGACATGAAGAGGTGAACTTACTACCAGTATCCCTAGATGTCTGGCCCACCCGTATACATATCAATAGTCCTATGTTACAGGTTTGACATTTACAATGATGAATGTTGGGCCCTTCAGCATCTTGTTTTATTAGTATGTTTTGTGATTTTGTTTGTAAACAAGAGGCCCACAGAGCCTGTATCTCTCACCTGAAATGTTATGCTCAGCAATGGTATTGGTTGGGGATCTCAATCATTTCACTGTCATGACCCAGAAAATAAGTCAATAGGGGCGAAGCCAGACCCCAGAGTCAACTTTAATATATGATTGTGTTCTTCTCTTAATGTCAAGCAATGGTTTATATAATTATGGGGTGGGGATCTAAACCATTTCAAATTTGTGACCCAAAATTCAAGTCCCTAGGGGTTGAGCTATGCCTATCAAATGTATAGAAGGCTATGGTGTGGGGATCTCAACCGTTTCAAAGTTATGGCACACAAATTGTTGGCGGACAGATAGACGACGGACACCACGGTATGGCATAAGCTCACTTTAGTCCTTTGGACCAGGTGAACTAGAATTGTGGTCTTCAAAGTGCATATTTGTTTGCACACTGTGGACATTGGATAAGCCCTTCTATAGATAAATAGATTATAGAAGAGTTTATTTCCCTTCTGTCCCTTCAAGTTGGATATATCTAAAAACAAATACAACAAAGTTAATATCTGGATATCAAATTTGTATTGAGATACAAAACTATCTACATAATTGTAGGATTAATGAGATCTAACACCATCAATTGCGAGAAATCATAATTTTTCACATTTAAATCACAATATCACCAAAGCATTTGCTCTTGCCTGGAATCAAAATCTAAAATCATCCAATACAAGTTTTGTAGTGGCAGTGACTTGCTTTTAAATGAAAACTTTTACAACAGGCCAGACGACAATTTGACCTAATAACCTCAGAACTCTGAAACTTGCACTAGTGCTACACCAACGGAGTTTTACCGTCGCCTTATAGTACAAATGTCAACCTGCACTAGTGCTACACCAACAGAGTTTTACCGTCGCCTTATAGTACAAATGTCAACCTGCACTAGTGCTACACCAACAGAGTTTTACCGTCGCCTTATAGTACAAATGT